GATATGGCAAAAGTTATAGAACTAGATGCTGTCAGTTTTCCTATGATATATAAGGTAATTAATGGTTTCATAGTCAAAGTAGGTTATCTTCATTTAGTGAGCATTTATTGAGAACCCAAAATGTCTCAAGGCACTAAAATTTACCCTGAGAAAACACAAATGCACATGATGTCTCCCCTAAGAACATCATAGTCTGATGAGAAAGCCAGACACAAATATGGATAATTCTATTAAAGGTGAATAAATACTAAAATGGGAGCCCACTGTGGCACTGAATCTCTGAAAAGAAAATGATTCGGATAATATTGGCTAATAATAGGTTTTTTTTTCATTTGTACTTAGATATTCTTTGCTCTTATAATTATATAAAACCAATACCTTCAAAGATTTTTTTTTTTATGCTGGCATAAAAATGGAGAAAAATCACTTAACTATGAATTTTCACTGGATGGCAATCATTCAGCAAGGAGTTATTGAACACTTATTGGGGGCCAGGCAGAGTTTTTGCCGCTTGTAAGTGAGACAGAGTTGCCACCCTCATGAAGCTTACCTTTTCTTGAGTGAGAGATCTAGAATAGTCATGGAGGTAAATAAATATATGAGATACTTCAGATAGTGATACGTGATACAAAGAAAACAAAACACGTAATGGATTTAAGGGTGGGGGTATTCTCTCTAGATATGCTGATGATGGAAGCCCTCTTTGAGCAGTTGATACTTTAGCTAAAACCTGAATGAACTCTGGGTTACAAAGCTTATATTCGGAAAGATTCAGTAGTGGTAAAGTTATGTGTCTTTTCACAAGGCATTCGTTCTATCTGGATATTTATTTTGGTGGTTTTCAAGTGAAGAAAGAGGGGTAACTAAGTTCCCCAGGTGGTTCTGCTTACCTAGTTTGAAACCTACCGCTCACCTGGGTAAGAAGTGCTGTTGATATGTTTTTCGTCATTGATCCTTTTGTGTATTCTTGCTAAGAATCCTAGGCTATTTCACAAGCACATCCTCTTGGAATAATGACCAAAGTTGTTATTGGAAAGAAATATAGCTGTTTTTCCCCCAAATTTTTCACAATAGTTATAACAAATACATAACTCCTCCCTTTTGAAATAAAATAAGTGTGATTATACAGTTTGTATCATCTTTTAACAAACATGCTACAATTGTATGCTATGAGTAAAACTGGTTAAATGGATTTGCTTAAGATCTGAATTTAATGATAAAAGGTCCAGTAATATTGTGTAATGCAGATATATGTCCAGAAGTATATGGTATGTCCATGATCCTGCTATGAATCTAAGTGTTTGACACTTTCTAGTTGATATTTGACTTTTAGAAACAAAGTCACTTTAGGGTCTATTCTGTAAACTGTATAATGAGAAGAGTATTATCTAATAGATGCCCCTAACTACCCTCAAGGTGAAACATGATGAGACATTTTCTTGTGTAGTTCACGTTTTGTTGATTGGTTAGAAAACATAAATTTGTCCAAAGATACACTAAAATTTATTGGCAGAACTACAATGCAAATTTCCAGTGCCCATCTCCTCTTCAGTTTCTAGTGTTTTAAAAGAGATAGTGAAGTACATTAACATTTAGTTTCTGGCAAGGACGTTGTTGATTAAATTTACTTCTCAAACTTTTAGATTATTTCAATTTGTACGTGTCAAACCATTAGATGATTTTTTTTTCTCGTGGACTGAGGCATTGTGGTGAGGATATAAATTTCTTTAAGATAAATTCAGGACCAATCTTGTTTTCTTCCAACTTTAGAATATAAATTTTAGGTCAGAAAAATATTTATAGCAGAAAAAAGAGAAATCAGTGAGAGCTGTTGGAAATAAAGTGGCGTCCCAGTACCTCACTTTAATCAAATTCTTTGTACATTTCCCATTCAACTTTGGGTCTAAGTATAGTTAAGCTTATTTCTTTGTAACCAAATAAAATGAAAATCAACCTGTTTTTAAAGGGATGTTGAGCTAATGAAAGCAAATGCAAATAACTAATTTGACAAAAAAAAATTATCTATGACCAGATGTCATCATTCCTAGCTAAAATATACAAATGCATAAATGTATAAGGAAACCAAAATATAAATGTTCTTTTATCATTGAGGAGTTATGAGTATTTAATTGGCCTTTGTTAAACTGATCACAAGGACATGTCAGCCACCTTTGGAAAGTTTAAGCAAGCTGTGTTAATTATAATGCCATTAAGAGTGACTTATTTGTGCTGTCTCACTAGCAGAAAATGAGTCAATTTGTTCAAGCCTCAAAAACACACATTATAAACTATTTAGTCCATAGGTTCCTGTACTCCCCTATTCCTCAGAGCTTCAGGTAGTATAGTCTTCAGTAGTGAGTTGTCATACTGTCATAACAGGTCTGTTTATGAAGATTGCATTGCAGAAGAGTTATTCCTTCCACATCTCACTGAAGTGTGGATGTTTTGTAATTATCAGGTATGACTTGTGCTTCATTCAAGGAAGACCTCTTCCTCCCACACTGGACTTTGATGTCAAATGAAGTAAAGCTAAGGTTACACCTTAAGCACTTGTGAGCCAGGCAACCTAATGAAATGATTATACTATCCTCTTCAATTTATAGATGAAGTACAGAGATGACAAGTAACTTGCTCAACATCACACAGCTAGTAAGTGGCAGAGTCCAGGTACAAACTCAGGAGACGTGATTCCAAGTCCTACACTCTGATTTTAGCACTACAGAATTCTGTCTCTCAAACCTTGTGTTGACATTTCCTTATAATTATACTTAAGCGATCATAACAGGTGCTTTTTCAAGAGGAATAAATGAATATTAGATTTACGTTTTAACCCACCCAAATTTTAGGACCATAATTTAAGTCTGTCGTTTCTATAATAAGCTTGGAAATCATTTGGGCTTTCATAGAAAGCTTCTGTAAAGACTATGTCTTATTTGGGAAGATACAATTGTTAAAATGTACTCAAAATTTGTAACTATGAAAAAATACTGCACCTTATACTTTCTCAGTTACAAAACTAAGATAAGTTAATAAGAAGTATCTTTGATTCATTTGCTGTCAAGTGAAAGAGAGTATTTTAGCTAAAGCAGTCTGTTGTCAACAGGTTCCTATTTAGAACATTCTTGGAGTTGACCACGGTTATTCCTTTTTCTTATTTTTTTTCTTTTTTTTCTCCTTTTGCATTTTTTAAGTTTAAAAGAATTTAAAGTAGTAAAGGGCAGAACAGAAACGTTGCATTATCCCCAATAAATTTTCCCTGAGGTAAGGTTAAAGTTAATCAATGTCAGATTATTAACAACGGCTAAAATTGCTGCTCCTTAAAGAAGAGGCATAATTTCTGTTGCATGTGGGATTTTCAGAGCATTTCTAATGAATTCAGAGGATCATCTAATCCCAGAAAGAATGCTTCTTTGCCGTCAAGAGGTTGGTTTTCTCTGGCTTCAGAAAATACCTAACCTTTTTTTTCTGTTTCCTATCTGGCATCTCCTTTTTGGCGTATCCTATTGGCATTACCCCTATAGAGAACTTCCTGGAAAGCAGATCATTTTGTTGAGATTCGGAAATGCTTTTGTCTAGCTTCTAGGTCATGCTTTAAACCCAGAACAAATGACGGAGCTAACCATACTATGTGAAAATGCCCAGTCATTAAACTCATGAGAGATTTTTGGTAGTGTTTTTTTTTTTTTTTTTTTTTTAATGATGCAAAGTACTCAAGATTCAAGCAAGGCTATTTCACATAAAAGTCCAGTGATGTTGATTTTTGGCCAGAACTTGGAATAGCTGGGAAAAATATCAAGAAAAACAACTTTTATCAAAAGGCAAATTAGTTTTTGAAGCTGGTGTTAATTGGCAGCCAAGGTGTTTCATTATGAAGCTGAATTTTTAACAGTTGTTACTTGGTTACTATGAAAACACCAGCCAGAAGAAAACACTGCAGTGTAATGGATATTTCTCCAGTCTCTCCCATTCCTTCTGCCAACGTGTCAATAAAGTGAGTCCAGTTTGAAAACACCCATGTGCTGCCTAGAAAGAGCCTGCGTTGGCTGTTGATTCAACTTTATTTCTGGATTAGATGCATATTTCATGATCAACGGGTTCAGGGATGGTCACTTTCAAACTGCAGCTGCTCTTTTTCTATTTTGCAGTTCTCTAGGTATGAATGAAACCTTAAGACCTTATTGCGAGCACTATTTTTTTCTTTGTAACCTAGAGCATAAAGCTAACCACAGGAAATATATAAATTGTAACTAGAAAGATGATTCTTTTCGATGAAGCAACAAGAAACAGAGTGCTTTATCTCTATGTGTGAGTGTACCTACTGCTGATTTTTTTTTAAGGAAAAACACCTGAGGGCCACAGGTAGCAAGTGCCAACTGTTTATTCCCATCCCTAGTAGAGAACAGTGTGAAGAAGGTTTCTCTCCATACATAACATATCCGAAGCCCCTGGGAGTATGTATGCTTTGATATTTTCCCCATTCTGACATTTTACTAGCTGGCTAAGAAAAAAATCAGTTTGCTTAGTGAGTCCTTAACCTATAGGCAACAAATTCTTGTATTGTCCTGTCATGGTCATCATGTTAATCTCTGTTGTGTTCAGCATCTAGTTTTATGGTGATGCATAGAAAAAAATCATTTTTTGTAAGTGACGTGATAAAATTGTTATTTTAAATTACATGCCAACTGTTTCCCAGCCAAATAATTTAATTATGTGGTTATAGTCTTATTTAAGCCTTTGTTATTGCTTCTAAGCAAGTATGGCTCTATTTGTTGTCTTCAAAACAGAAGCAGGTTTTCCTCTTGCCTTGCAAAGTCTCAGGTAGGGTTTTACAGAACAAAATAATGAATGCTTCTGCTGCAGCATGTCACAGGGGAGGCTGGGACAATACTGAACTCATGCACACCGCTGATCCTTGCTTGCTGGGCAACATGTACACCTGGATTTCTGACAGCTCTGTGGGTTCACTAGAGACCTCTGTCATTCTGTTCATCCTCTCATAGGCAATGGTCGAGACAGTTAACAACCTCCTCCAGCCACAAGCCTTGAATGCATGGAGAGACCTGACTACAAGTGATCAACTACGTGCAGCCACCATGTTGCTTGACACTGTGGAAGAAAGTGCTTTTGTGCTGGCTGATAACCTTTTGAAGACTGACATTGTCAGGGAGAACACAGACAATATTCGTAAGTGGCCTTTGTTATACAGAAAGGCCAGAGATCCTTGTACAGCAGAAGAGGGAAAAGAAAAAAGTGTCTATGGTGGCCCAGATATTGTGAACGATACTTTATTTCAGTGGGGATAAGTTATTCTTTTTCTATAATTAGGAGGACATCACCTGTCATAGGCTTAAAAGGGTCTTCATAATTGTGTATGTTATCCTCCTTGAGACATTCCAGTATTGGATATGTTAGCCTGAGATCACTTACTGTGAGCTCCATTTGTTTTTTATAGTTTTTATATATGTATATCTATGTATGTATTCTACTATTTAAAATTTTATCCTCCTAATACAAGGCATATGGGTCACTTTGGTTATAATAAGAGGGCTTCTGAATTATATACTATAAAGAAATCAGTCATTTAAGTGAAGGTGAGGAAACAATTTTTGATAATTGTGTTACTGGCTCATAAAGAGTATAAATTTATTTTTATCATGCACAAGGATGTAGCTGACAGTTTTATTTCAGAAGATTTGATAAAACTTTCAAACTTATTACATTTAAAGATAGATCAATATTGACAATAGTGCAGCTGTTGATTATAAAAGGATTTTTACTTAATTCATATAATAAAGATAGTATTTTGAAAATAAAGTCAGTGACAAAGCATTAGGATTTGAGCTTGAATTTTAAATTTTAGGCTTGTAGTTGATACATTTGTATTCTTGTTTACCTGATTTTAATAGCTTTTATTAGCTTTATTTTAAAAAGAAATTAAAACCCTGAAAGAATGCTTTCTAAATAAAAGATTGAACTCTTGAGAAATTAAACTATGGAGACTATTCAGAAGTATTTCAGTGATTTAGGAAATTATCTTGGCTTTGGTGTGTTTTTCAACGAGTACTGATATCTCTTTGCTATTAACAGAATTGGAAGTTGCAAGGCTGAGCACAGAAGGAAACTTAGAAGATCTAAAATTTCCAGAAAACATGGGTCATGGAAGTACTATCCAACTTTCTGCAAATACTTTAAAACAAAATGGTCGGAATGGTGGGTTAGAGTTTATTTGTTAAGCTTGATGGAATTGAACTTGTCATCCATTCATTGCCTTTGCTTGGAATTTTAGGCCTGCTATCCAAAAGCTCTCCTTCTCCTCTCGCTCCACCATTCTCGTTCTCCTCCTGCCCTTCCTCTCTCTCCTCCCTCTCGCACCAACAATATTGCAATGATATTTGTTCTACAAAATTCCCAGTCAGATTTGGAAATTGTTCATTACTTTTAAGTTGCAATGTCAGAAACTTGAATGTAAGGGAATTAATGAACAACAAAATTCAGATGACCTAACTTTTTTCCTCGAAAGGAAGGACTCCTAAGTAGTCAGATTTGGTTTCTAAAAATTTTAACGGAAATTTTACCTGTAATTTTAAAACCATATATATATTTTTTCCTTATTCATTTCTTTTTGAGGATGTTTCTATGCTTTTCTTTTGTAAAGCATACAGAAAACTGAAATGTGAGGAGATGCTTTTGGAAAACGAAACTGGTAAAATAGATCAGTTTAGTACTAGACTAAATTTACCCAATATAATTAAAATTAAATAAATAATCTCATAGAGAAAGTATGTCTCAAGCCTCACTAATATTAAATTTTTTAATACATATCTTTTGCCAGGTAAATGAGATTCTTTAACCTGTTAGGTGTTAGGAAGATGACCTCAGGGCATAGCAACCAACTCAAAGCTGATGTTTCATATTGCAGGGTGAATAGTTTTGGAAAAAGGAGAACCTACTAAAATATTATCAAAAAAAAATTATTGTCAGCAGAACAAGATTCTTTATAAGTGTTGGAAATCTTGTAAGACTGAATTTATAAATCATTATGTTGCTAATTTGACTATGCAAATTTTAAGGCAGCAGCAAGATATTCTATACAGCAAAATCAGATTCCTATATTAGCTCCCTAACTGGTTTCCCTCCTTCCACTCTTACCCCCCAACAGTATATCCTATTGACAAAGGGTTCTTCCTGAAACACAAGTCTGACCAGTTCCCCTCCAGTTACACTTAGAATGAAATCAAATGACTTAACTAGGCCTACAACGTGCTACCTGGTTCACCTCCATCCTGCCTCATCTGTGCGACTTCACATTTGTCTTTAGCATGCTCTCTGTGACCCAGACAGTCTAGTCTTGATTCTTTTTTTTAAACTGAGATATGATTGACATATAACATTATATTAGTTTCAGGTGTACAATGTAATGATTTGATATTTGTATGTATTGCAAAATGGTCACCACAGTAAGTCTAGTTAAGATCTATCACCACACATAGTTATATATTTTTTCTTGTCATGAGAACTTTTAAGGTTTAGTCTCTTAGCAACTTTCAAAATATGCAGTATAGGATTATTAACTACAGTCACCCTGGTGTACATTACAGCCTCATGACTGACGTTATAACTGGAGGTTTGTACCTTTTGATCCCCTTCATCCATCTCCCCTACCCCACATCCCCTGCCTCTGGCAGCCACCAGTCTGCTCAGTATGTCTATGAGTTCAGTTTTGTTTTTTGCTCTTTAAGATTCCACATATAATTGAAATGACACTGTATTTTTCTTTCTCTGACTTATTTCACTCAGCATAATGCCCTCAAGGGCCACCTGTGTTGTCACAAATGGCAAGATTTCCTTCTTTTTTATGGCTGAATAATATTCCACTGTATGTATATACCATATATCCTTTATCTGTTCATCTATTGATGGACACTTAGGTTGTTTTCATATCTTGGCTATTGTAAACAATGCTGTGATGAACATGGGGGTGCATAGATCTTTTTGAATTAGTGTTTTCATTTCCTTCAGATAAATACCCAGAAGAGGAATTGCTGGATCATATGGTAGTTCTATTTTTAGTTTTTTGAGGAACATCCATACTGTTTTCCAGGGTGGATGCACCAATTTATATCCCTACCAGTAATGTACGAGGGTTCCCTAAGTTAGTCTTGATTCTGTTCCTTGAACACACCAAGAATGTTCCTGCATCACATTTTTGCATTTTCTTCCTTTCCAGAATGCAATTTTTACATTTCTTTATATAGAAGCTTCCCTGTCATTCACTGCTCTGTATAAATCTCACCTCTTTAGGAAGGTTTCCCCATCTCCCTGAAGTTAGATCACTCTTTCCCAATCATTCTTTTCCCATTAGCCATTTTATGCCAATGCTTCTTCATAGGATTTATTCACTTACCATTATGTGAAATTATATTTTTATTTTTTAATTTTTTTGACTTGCCTGCTTGTGGTCTGACTCTCCCTCTAGGTGGTAAGCTCCATGAGAGCAGGGACCTTTTGTAATTTGTTCGCTAATATAAACCTGGTGCCTGGTACAGGATGTACTCACTAAGGATTTATCAAATAAGTATGTGAACTTTCAGATACAAAGCTAATGAAGATTGACATATGTCTATATTAGTCAAATTATATTTTGTGCTCATTTATTTTATTTATTAAATTAATGTAATGTGTATGTGTGTTTGAGCTCACATTTAAGCATTAATTTTGGAGTGAAGAATCTGTAACAATTACATGTGTCTAAAAGCACTGGTAAAACAAGGTAGGATGACAACACGACCCCATCCCACAAGTGGAAATTGGTATAAATTGCCAGCCAATTATAAACCAATTAAAATAAAAGTTGTTACTGTCAATAATAAAAATACATAGATGTTCCTAAGGTTAGCCTTCCACAAATCAGCATTTTTATATTTTACCTGAAACCTAGAGGGGAAGAACTAAAATTAAATGCTGTGTTGTAACAATCAAGAAGAGTTTAGTGAATTACTGTTGTTTGCCCAGTACTATGTTAACAGATGTGGACTGGAAGTTTAAGAATGCCCCTTTCCTTTATGTAGCTCTTATCATAATCTGTTTTCTGGGTTACTGAAAGAATAATATATATCACATAGAATCACTGGGAAGGCTGGAGAGTCAGGCTCAGAAAACACACAAGAGCAAGGAGGCTGACAGCAGGCGGTACCATCACACAGAATCGTTGCGGTGAGATGTCACTGCTGCCGTAAGTGAAGGCTGCTGCTGCACTGCCTCCTGCTTCCCTGTGTCACCAGTTCCTCATCCAAAATCTGAGGCTAGTGTGTCTGATTGGATGCATCTAACTGAGGCGCCCAGAGCAACCTCGTTGCAAGGCAGGCTGGGAAAGCAAGTATATGTCTATTTTGTGTCTATAAATCCTTAAGAGTAGGGAATTTCCCAAACATGGGAGCACAGTTTAGATGTTGGCCAGCCTTCTCGCTCCTCAAAAAAATACATTAAAACTTTTTTGTCTTTGGGGCCAGCCTGGTGACCTAGTGGTAGGTTCACATGCTCTGCTTCGCCTGCCCGGGTTCACCGGTTCAGATCCTGGGCAGGGACCTGCACACTGCTGATCAAGCCATGCTGTGCCAGCAACCCACAGACAAAAAATAGAGGAAGATTGGGACAGATGTTAGCTTAGGGACAATCTTCCTCAAGCAAAAAGGGCAAGATTGGCAACAGATATTAGCTCAGGGCCAATCTTCCTCAACAACAACAAAAACAAAATTTCTTTGTCGTTATTCCCACTTGATTCTAAGATTCAGGACAAGGACTATGACTTCCTCGTCTTAGTTAACAACAGTAGTCAGAGCAGTGCCTGTCTCTTGGTGAACTGAAATGAATTCATACTGGAAGTAAGACATACGGTTTGACTTATTTTAAGAAAGGAAATGATATGATAAAAAAACATGTTAAAAGAAGGTTAATTTTACACAGGATTACATGTAAGAGATTGTCATAAAGGAAAAAATAAGGTTGAAGGACATATGGAGATAGCAACCTTAAAAGAACATGGTAGTTGAGTTTTAAGACAGTAAAGATTTTGAATCCTTGTTTTTTTCTTTCACTGCAATTAAGATATAATTTACATACAAGAAAATGCATACATATTAAGTGTTTATCTTGATGAATTGGACAGTTGTACATTCCTATATAATATCACATAAAATAACATATAAATCTCTAATATTACCCAGGAAATTTCCTGGTGACTCTTTCCAGTCTTCTCACTCCCTCCCCCACCTGATGAACCTCCTTTCTTCTCATTACTATTTCTGTAGACAAATTTTGCCTGCTCTTAGCTTTCAAATAACTGGAATCATACAGTATATACTCTGTCTATATTCTTTAACTCAGGGTAATATTTTTGAGATTCAGTCATTATGCTCCATCTATCTGTCATTTGTTCTTTATTGATATATAGTATATTCCATTATAGTAGCATGCTATAATTTATTCTCCTTTTGAAAGATTTTGTAGTTGTTTCTGGTTCAGGACTTTTATGAATAAGGGCTATCAACATTCTTATATGAGTTTTTTTCTTTTTGGATATATCTTTTCACTTATCTAGGAAGGGTAGATATATGTTTAACTTTATAAGAAATTGCAAAACATTTTTCTAAGTGGTTGAACCATTTTACACTCCCATCAGCAGTATACAAGATTTCCAATTATTCCACATCCTTGTTAACATTAGTGTGGTCAGTCTTTTCGATTTTAGAGAATCTAGAGGGTATGAAGTGGTATCTCAATGTGACTTATTTTTATTTCCCTAATTACTAATGATATTGATAATTTTTTATATCTATTAGCCTTTCCTATATCTTTTTGTGCTAAAATGTGTGTTTATGTGTTTTGCCATTTCAATGCGTCATTTATTCTTTTATTGTTGATTAGTATAAGTGCTTTATACATTCATGAGTCTCATATATATATATATACACACATACATATACCTATACAACTTCCTAGTCTGTGGCTTGCCTTTGCATTTTCTTAATGCTTTATTTTGATAGACACAAATTTTTAATTTTGATAAAGTTCAGTTTGCCATTTTTTTCTTTCGTGGTTAGTGTTTTTTGGGTCCTATCCAAATCATCTTTGTCTTCCCCAAGATCACAAAGATATCCTACATTTTGTTCTAGAAGCTTTATGGTTCTGGTTTTTATCTTAGGTCTATAATCCATGTCAAATTACTTTTTGAGTATGGATTGAAATAGGGATTGAGGTTCATTTTTTTAAATACTAATATGTAGTTGTTTCAGCATCATTTGACTTTCCTTTTCTCATTAATGACTTGGCACTTTCGTTAAATTGAATGCTTGATTTTTGTTGTGAGTACATATTACATAGATTTGATTATGATCTGATTAGACCTGTCTAATTTAAGTGGAATGTACAAAGTAATCAGAGTTTTTGCCCAATTTATAATTCACATTTGCATTTATTTTAGGAGAGATCAGAGTGGCCTTTGTCCTTTATAACAACTTGGGTCCTTATTTGTCCACGGAGAATGCCAGCATGAAGTTGGGAACAGAGGCCATGTCCACCAATCATTCTGTTATTGTCAATTCCCCTGTTATTACAGCAGCAATAAACAAGGAGTTTAGTAATAAGGTTTATTTGGCTGATCCTGTGGTGTTCACTGTTAAACATATTAAGGTAAGAAAATGGCATGGTAAGTTTAGTTGTCCACGTTACCTATATTTGCTAAAGCATGAACAAGAAGTATATTAATTTCTTTTTATTTTTTTCCTATTCTTTGACATATAGTAATTCATTATCTATAAAATGATAGTGGTGATTTTTTTTTCTAAAGTGGGGTAGGAGAATAATTCTTGAATATGTAAATGCTTTTGGTGAAGACATTCATAGATGGTTTTATAAATGCTTCTCCATAATTAAAAAGAGCTAGCAATATGTTCAGTGGAACTGGACGTGGCTTCACATATGGTGTTACAAATAATTAGTCTTTGTGTGTAGATATATTTTTGTGTATTGTAAATTAAACAAAGATTTCTAAAGATCTTCCTTTCAGAAGTTGATTATTTAGAGAAATTTATTAATTTACTTTGCAATGTACTTTACTTTGAAATTAGTTGATGTGATTCTGAGACATTAATACTAGTATTCCTTCAATATTAATTTTTAAAAAAGTAAACTCACCTCTAATCAGGGGGAATAAACAACAGCATATAATCAAATTTGCTTAAACTTGATGAAGCTCACATAATATGAAAATACTGATAGATATCTCCACAAAAATTGTAACAGAGTATGATGTTGTATTAGAGGTTAGGAAAATGCCTACCTAATTTATATGATCCTAAAGTAGTTTTTGGCTTGATTAATTTTTTTTTTTTCCATGTAGCAGTCCGAGGAAAATTTCAACCCTAACTGTTCGTTTTGGAGCTATTCCAAACGCACAATGACAGGTTATTGGTCAACACAAGGCTGTCGGCTCCTGACAACGAATAAGACGCACACTACATGCTCTTGTAATCACCTAACCAATTTTGCAGTGCTGATGGCACATGTGGAAGTTAAGGTAAGATATATACCATAAAATAAAAACACCTTAGCACACAATCAGGACACTAACTATAAAAAGTCCTAACTCTATGGGCCAATCTCACTTCAACGTTTTTGCACTTTTATAGTAATTCTATTGAGGAACTCTCTGGTATTTGACTCATATCTTCCTGAATGATTCAAACAACTCTTTTTTTTTCTAGAGTCAACATAGTTCATAAAATTGAAGTTTGCTTATAAAATAAAATTTTGAAATAAAACTTCCCTTAGTTGCCCCAACTTTCATTTTGTATGAATAAATGTCAGAACTCATGGACAGGGCAAGATAGGACCCCAAAACCAAAGGCCAGTGTGGTAGGGTTAGGAACTGGGATCTGGTAGGTTGAAGACTAAGGAACTATGCATGGGATTAAATACTGTCAGAATGATTCTTGGGAAACCAGCCATTAAGCACAATATACAAAGCATGGTAATGCAAAGGGCTTAGCAAATTCTAACATAATGTAATGGGTTTTGTCCATTCAAGAAGATACTATTCTAAGGAAAAATCCAAGTGATAGGTACTTTCCAAAGTCAGGAACATGGCTAACTTGGTTGCATCCATCTTTTCCTAGCATGACTCTGGCTGTCATGGATGGTGGCATGAAGAGGATTTAGATTTCAGATATACTTAGGACATAGAAATATACAGAACTTATTAACTTGGTTATAGAGATTGATAGGTAGGTTAGTAACAAGAAATTACTATATTTGTAAATTCTCATCTCTCTGATGTCAGTAAAAATAGAGGATTGCTGTCCAACACATTTTAATAAGTGAAAACTGTAGCAAAGGTTTTATCTACCTAATATCATTGATCCAAATAATTTCATCCAGAATTTTCTTTGACACTTTTGAATTTAGAGATGGCACAGGTATCCCGGAGGGAGACCAAATCCAAGCCTAGTTAGCACCCTAAGAGCAAATTACCTTAGCTGTGTCAGCACAGTTCAAATTTTGGTCTTTAAAAGACTGCAAACTCTACTTTGTCAGAGCATCACAAATTGATCTAGCTTGGCAAGATTGGCTACACTAACAAATGTTAGATTTAAACCTGGAATGTGTTAGTATGGCTCTGGGATTCTACTTTTCAGCTTAGGGAATAAATTCAACTCAGAAAAATGGATCTCATTTGAAGCAACAACAAAATATCATTTTTTGCTCAGTTCATTCTGTAACAACCTCTCCCAATACAAGAATCCTGACTGTGACTATTATTGTGTGTCAACAAGAGATAAAATAAATGGAAATCAATATTTTCCTTTAGCAATCAGTCACACAGTATGTATGTCCTGGATTTCTTGTATCACAGTCTCTTGTGATTGCCTAAGTCAGTCCCGTTTTGATCTCACAACATGATTTTAACACTTGAAAAACAGAAAACAAGCAGACTGATCGTCCTTACAAGTCCCAAAAGAAATACACTGACCAAACTTACATTAGACTAGTATCTAAAACAGAACGCTAATTTATTCATGCACTGTGAGCAATACAGCAGCCAGTTGAAACACATATTTATATTTGCTAGGTATCACTTTCTAACTCTGCAGGAAAATCTATAAAGGGGACAAAATTATATTGGAGAATTTTGCTTGACGAGCTTGGAAAGAGAGCAAGAAGAGTTAGCAGGGTAATCTTGAGAGCTGTGCTGTTAAGCTGTGGTGTCCTGATGCATGGGTCTTCCCTCCAGGGCTCTACTTGTGCACTGAATTGCCCTTATCTATCATCTGTTCATTCTGTACTTCCTTCATTCTTTTATCAACATTTTTTGAGCACCTAAGTAAAGGTATTGATGTATTGTCTGCAACACTGTAGCCTCTTGATAAATGTAATTTCCTCCTTTCCATCTGCCGGAGATTACTAGACTCTAGCATTCCAGTGAAGTTTCTGGCCCTCAAGGAACTCACATTGGTGAAGGAGAGGAAAGGGCAGAGAAATGAAGCTGCAGTCATAATTGTGATAAGTGTTATCATAGAGGCGTACCCATTAGGGGAGGGACACAGAGGAGCATCATCTAAGTAAGGAAGGACTGCTCAGAGAGGGCTCATCTAAAAAGAGTCCTGCTCTGTAGGATGAGTAAGATGTGATTAGTAAGGTAACATGTGGAGAATTTGCGTTGACCACATTCTTGCAACATTTTCTTCACTTTGCCTTGGATACACCTTTCTCTTGTTTCTCTCCCTCCTCAGCAACTGGTCCTTCTTAGCTTCCTTTTCTGGTTCCTCCTCATCTCTGCAACCTCTCACTGTTGCTCTGGCCCAGAGTGTAATCCTAGATGTAGTCTAGGCCCTATCCATGCTTTCTACCAAGGTGATCTTATATAGTCATATGGCTCTACATCATCTCACAATTCCCAGATTTCTATCTCCATTTCTTAACTCCAAACTCATAGATTCAACTGCTAACTTGCCATATCCACCCAGACTTCTAATATGTGTCACAATTCTAGAACTACACTTTTGGTATTCTCCCATCTGAGTCTTCTCTATCTTAGCAAATGGCTACTCTGTCCTTCCAGGTGCCCAGCCCTAAACCATGCACCATCTTTGTTTTTTTTTCACTCATACTGCACACCCTATCCTATGAGCATATTCTGCCAGATTCAAGCCCCTATCATCTCTCCTGGACCTTTTTGTTATAGCCCCTTAATTGATCTCCCCACTTCCCTCCTTGTCCCCCTTAAATTTGTTCTCAGCATAATTGCCAGAAGGATACTCTTAAAATGTAAGTAAGACCTTGTCACTCCTCTAATTCATTCTCAAAAAGCAGTTCTGTAATCCCTTTAAAGTACAGATCAGGTACTTCATACCTTGGATTCAATCTGAATGACTTTTTATCTCAATAAGAGCTGAATGACAAATCTTGGCCTGTATTAGCATCACTTTACTTCCTCTCCTATTACTCTTCCCTTGCTCACTTGGCTTCAGCCACATAGCCTTTACACAAACACATCAGGTGAGCTCTAGTTAGACCTGAACGTCTCCCTCCTCCTAGCCCCCACTTAGCCACATGGCCAGCTTCTTCATCTCCTTCAAGTCTTTGCTCGAATGTCACCTTCTCAATGAGGCTTTCTCTTTCCACCATATTTTAAATTTCAGATTACCCCACCCCCACAGAATACTGTGGAGAATAAGGCAAAACCTGACCCTTGCCTCAGGGAATTTACAGGTTATCCAGGGAGAGAAATGTTAAGACTGATTTTTGAATGGATGCTGAGAGAAATTTCATAGCTAGGTCAGAAGCAAGGGAATGCTTCTACCATAAGGTGGCAACACAGCTGGTTAGCAACTTCTGAGTTCTCTCTACTTCTGCTGTCAAGGAAACATTTGATTGTCTTGTCCTTTAGACATAAAAGTAATCTTTACAGAAATTTACGTAATGTAATTTTATACTAAACTGACATAGTATTTATGGTATTTTAAAACTTTCCGTTATTGGGAATCATCTGTAGGTTTATTTGTTGTTCAGCAGAATGTTAAATATGCTAAATTCAAGTATCTATCTCTTGTCTTACAAGCAGTTCCTTTTGTGAACACCTTTTGTGGGAGGAGTATTTTAGTTTACTGGAGCATAAGTTTCAAACTAATTGACTAATTAACATTTCTACTGTGGTTTTATAGAGCACTGTAACAAATGCTTTAGATAAGGGTCTCTCAATTTATATCACCTATAGCTCTTTCCTCTACTCAAATTATAATTCTTTGAGAGATGAAAAAAGTCTTCCTACACTTTCCTGTCAGTTCAACTTGACGTTGGTTTTTATTATCTTTGAAAGTCTTCGCTTTCCTTAGTTTGAGGACTGCTTCTCTGTCTCTGTTTTTTAGTGTAGTATATCCTATTGTCCCCACCACAGCTTCACCCCAGTCGAAGTGTAGGCATTGATTTGGCTATTTAAAATCATGGTATTTCTTTAATAGTATTGATTCAAAAGGGTGACAATTTGGAAATTTTTAATTCCACACCATGGATTCTGTGTGTCAAATATTTTATAGCTAGAATTTTTTTAGGCAAGAAAAACATGAGGTAGTTTTACATTGCAAGATTCTGCAGTTGCACGTGAAGCAAAGTACTTACTTTTCAAAAGGAATATTCTTATTTTTTAAGATCCCACCAAAAAAGTTACTTTGAGTTTAAGAAATGATTTTATTAATGAAAAATAAAATGTTTAATGTATTATACTACAGATTGTATACTTCCATTCCCAAGATTTTATGCTCATTTTGTATTTTGCCATTTATAGAATGAAGGGATTGAGGTGGAGGTGGAGATGAAAATTCATAGCTAATATGCAGTACTTTAAACAGTATATTTATTTAGGGGAAAAACTAGATAACTGATAAGTTGAATACTCTCCAAATGTGAAAAGTTCCATAAAAAGAAAATCATTTCAAAAATGGTCAAAAATGTAAGATTTTGTTATATTAATTATCTTGAATATTAACATTATAAAAAAAATTGAAATCTTTTTAGAACCAAAAATTATTCTTGGATTTTTGTATTGAACTATTTTATAATGATTTATTTCCTTCATAGATTTGTTAAAATTTGAAGTTATTTCCTTAATAGTATGCTGTGTTATTATCTGCCTCCTCCACTACACCCTAAGCTCAGTATTGGGAGCAGAGAGAGGTGAAAGAAGTAAAAGAGCCTTACTGACCCGTACCCCTCCTGCTGTACCAGATACTGGCAAACACACATCCCTTGGTTTTCTAGGTTAGAGAGAGTATTTAGAATTTCATGTCACTTGTGAACAATGGGCAGAGGACAGGTATTTCAAAATATGAATGAGTATAACGGGAGAATTTTCTTCCTACCCCCATGGAGCATTTGTTCAATGCTCCTTTGAAGAAATAACAAGAAATGAAGAATGCTATCTCCATATCACTTCCCTCTGTCCTACAAGGGATCAGCAATCACCTAGAACCTCTTTCATTTTATTTCTGATGAAGTTGCTATGATAGAGGAAGTTATTGGAGG